TTGGGGTTAAATTTCCACATTTTTGGGGTAAATTTTTGGTTGAATTTTGGGCTTATTTTGAGTAAAACTTCCCCATTTTTAGGGTCAATTTTGAGTGAATTTTGAATTAATTTTGGGCTGATTTTCCCCATTTTTGGGGTGAATTTTTATATGAATTTTGGGGTAATTTCAGTGGAATTTTGGCTCTCAGGAGGAGCTGCAGCTGCTGCTGGAGGCCAAAGGTCAGAGGTCACTCAGGGGTCACGTGGGGTCACTCAGGGTGGTGGAGCATGCGCGGTAAAGGTGATGATGAGGGCGCAGGTAGAAGTGGGGTGTATCGAAAATGGGAGGAGATGCCATTGACACACGGCACAGAAGGAGGGAATTTTCATTTGGCAAGCTCGTGTGTGAGGTGGCAGGTGTCCAAGGATCCTGCACTCCGTACCCCGCGTGGTTATTTTTTTGCTTATGTGCTATTATTGGAACCAAATTATCCCACATTTAAACCAAATTATATTGTCAATATTTCAAGTGTATCCGATTTTATATATTTTAAGCTATTCAATTAAAATTCCTGCTACCTCTAATATAGTTTGGTTTTTTGATGATGGGATAATTGGGCAAATATAACAAACTGAACAAGAAATGGGGAGGAGAAAGGGGGAGAAAAATCTGGAAGAGGTCTCAGAGAGAGAAAGAAATAGGAAAGAGGTAATAAAGGGACAGAAAGAAATAGGAAAGACGTCTCGTGGGTGAGAAAAAGAATAGGGACGAGGTCTCAGAGGGAGAGAAAGAAATCTGAAATGGTCTCAGAGGGAGAGAAAGAAGTAACAAATGCTCCGGCCCGGACTCCGCAGCTCCCAGGGTCACCCGAGGGCGCAGCGCCTTTTACAATTCCAGCCAATCAGAGGAGGCGCTAACCAATTTCCAGCCAACCAGAGCTTTTCCCGCCGATGACTCACCGGTTGCCAGGCGGACCCGCAGAGCCCGGCGGCCCCGGAGCGGAATTTGGGGCTCGGGCCGGGGGACGGATCCGCCCCGGGGGGGTCCCCGAGCCCCCTGCCCAGCCCTGGGGCCGATCGGGGGCTCCCCCACCCAGCAGCCGGTGCTGCGGGGCCGAGCGGTGGGAAAGGGGGGTCCGGGCTGGAGCGGAGGGAATGCGGGAGGAAGAGGAGCGAGAGGAGGAGCAGAAGCGGGAGCGGGAGAAGCGCGGCGCTCGCAGCGCCCGCACGCCGAGCCTGCAGCACCCCCTGCCCCGGGAGCAGCGCCCCCAGCCCCGAGCCGCAGGGGAGGGCGGAGGCCGAGCTCGCCCCGGCTCCAGCCCGGGGTCTCCGGGAGGGTTTTTCTGGAGAGTGTTCGGAGCCGGCAGATCCCGGACTCGAGCCCCGGGTATCGCCGGGCTCCCTCAGAAGAGCTTTTTAGGGGGAGAGCAGCCGCGATCGCCCCTCGGAGGGTCCCGGGGGTCCACGTGGGGATGGCCCGGTACCGACGGGGCGGGACATTGGTTTTGGGGATCCCCGTGAGAGCCGGGGCTGTGGAACGGGGGACCCCCGGGGCAGGGAGAGGGGAAGGGGCGATACCGGAGCTGGGGGACCCCCGGCAGCCCGGAGATGAGGCGGGGACGGGACCCCTGACCCTGACAGGGGCGTGTCCTGGGGTGACTTTATGATGCTCGAACCCCATCGGTGTGTTTAGCCCAGAAATGAGTTCTGCACCTTTCAGGCCGGTTCTGAGAGCGAAGGGGAGGAGGAAGAGCAGCAGTTCGTTTTCAGATACTGCGCTCACTCCTCACCATTCCGGCTCCTGGACTGTTGTGATGCCTTAAGGAGCTGGAACACAGCCCAGACAGAATTAAAAGGAATAAATTTGATTTTTATTGAAGTGCTTTCAAATGCCACACCCTGGCAGTACCGGAGCCACAGTTGTGGCTCCGCCTAGATGGCCCCAGGATGGGAGCAAAAGAGAGTCACGAGATCTCACATTTTTATAAGTTTTAGTCCATTTGCATATAGGAGTTAACAGCCCAATTAATAACTTCAAATGATGAAGTTTCATCCTCCTTGCTTGCTTGCCTGCTGTCATCTTTTCACGTTGTTTATGCTTTGGGGCTGAAGTTTGAAGAGATCATCCTTGAGTCTCCAGCTAGAACAGGATTGTTTTGTCTTCACGGAACGCTCCCGTTCCCGCAGCTCCCGCCCCCATCGCCTTCGCCGCCGCCGTTATCCCGGCTCTTATCCCGCTTCTGTCCCGGGTTTCTGGCGGAGTTTGTCCCGGGTTGTGTCCCGGTTCTGGTGCCCTCCCGTACCGCACATGGCGCGGCTGCGGCGGGAGCGGAGCCGGCGGGAGCGGGAGCGGCGGGAGCGGGAGCGGCGGGGAAAACCAGGAGCGGGAACAACAAAAAAAAAGCCAAATCCCACCCAAAAAATCCCAAATCCCACAGAAAAACCCCCAAATTCACCAAAAAACCCCCAAATCCCACCAGAAAAATCCCACAAAAAATCAATCCCAAATTCCAGAAAAAAAACCAAATATGCCACAAAATCCCAAATCCCACCCCCAAAAATTGCAAAAATTCCACCAAAAATCCCAAATCCCATCCAAAAAATCCCAAAAGAACCCAAAAGTCCCCCACAAAATCAATCCAAAATCCCCCCAAAACCTCAAATCCATCCCCCAAAAAATCCCAAATGCCAAAAAAAGTCCAAAATCTCAAATCCCAGGGAAAAAAAATCCCAAAAACGCCACAAAAAAATCTCAAATTCCACCAAGAAATCCCAAAACTCCCAAAAAGAAATCCTAAATCCCACAGAAAAATTCCCACAAAAAAAATCCCACCAAAAAAACCCCAAATCCTGAATAAAACCCCCCAAATCCCAGGCAAAAAATTCCACAAAAAATCCTAAATCCCATAAAAAAAATCCCAAATCCCACCAAGAAAAATCCCACAAAAAATCTCAAATTCCACCAAAAAAGTCCCAAATCCCACAAAAGATTTTCAAAACCCCACAGAAAACCCCAAATCCCACCAAAAAAATCCTAAATCAACAACAAAATCCCAAATTTCACAAAAAAATCCCACAATAAATTCCAAAATCTCACCAAAAAATCAATCCCAAATCCCACAAAAAAATTCCCAATCCTGCAAAGAAAGCACCTCCAAATGCCACCAAAGAATCCCCAAAATCCCACCAAAAAAATCCCAAATTCTATAAAAAATCCCAAATCCCATCCAAACAATTCAAAACCCCATAAAAAACCCAAATTCCACGAAGAAAATCCCAAAAATGACACAAAGAGAATCCCAAATCCCTCAAAAAATTTCAAAATCCCACAAAATCACAAAGTTTGCAAAAAAATCCCAAATCACACCAAGAAATCTCAAATCCCCCAAAAGACAAAAAATCCCCCAAAAATCATGTTTTTCCTTTTTCAGAAAAGTAAAAAATTATCCCTGCAGGAATCAAAATAACTTTATCTATACTAATTTCATGGAAACTATGTAAGTGAATTTATACCTTCAGGATATTGTCTTTCTCAAAAGCACTGAATGATGTGAAATTTTAATTTTTCAGTAAACCTGCAAGCCTTTTATGAAGACAAAACTTGATGACTGAAAGACATTTTGGCAATGATTTAAAACATAAATGATATTTTAATTCTGAAATGTCTAGTAATGGTTTACTTTCTGGAAGCAGAAGTAGTAACCATAAAACAAGGAAAGATTGATGTGCTATGCATGAACAGAAAATTCTTGGATATATTCTCTTTTCTTCTCACAAATGAGACAATATTCCTGAAAACAAAAGTCATCCCTATAAACATAGAATTTAAAGGAAAACATTAGAGCTTGAATATTACAAAGGAGATATCCTTAGGCAAGGATTAATTCAGCTGCAATTGAATTAATGATAGGAGGTAAAAAATAACCCCTTTAGAAATTATTTTGGCATGTTATTAGACAACTCATCAAATACAGGCTTTCTCTGAGTAATTAATTCTTCCCCAAAATTCTAAAAATTTAGATAGGGGCTTGAATGTCTATTATTTAGAATAGTTAGAAATCTATTTCAGTTTTTGTTTCTGGGGTTTTTGTTTGTTTTTTTATGCCTTGGCCTTTTAGATGATTTAAAAATATCTTCCTATTGAAATTTCTTGCTTTTTTGTCTTCTGACACTTCTAGCTTCCTAATAACTCTATTCACAAGAAAATTCCAAAAAAATCCAGAAAAATTCCCCAAAAGTGCCCAGAAAAACCCTAAAAAATTCCCCCAAAAATCTCCCCAAAAAAACCCTAAAAAATTTCCCAAAACTACCCCTAGCAAGTGCAGTCAGTGCCCTTGGCTGCGTGCTTAGCGAATCTCTGTCGGGCCGGGAGACAACACTGTAGATAAGAATTGATAACACTGAGGAACTGAGAACTGAGGACTCTTTTTTTTTCCAAGGCCATCAGGCGATTTCAACAGCCCCGTACGGGCAGCCAGCGGTGTGCGAGACTTCTTGGAGACAGGGAATATTATTTCCCTAACTTCTGCTGAAAAAAGATTCCTACAGGTAGCAGTGGGAATTCTGGGGGGATTTTGGGTTATTTGGGGCGTTTTGAGGGGTCCTGGGGGGTTTTGGAAGGATTTTTGGGGGGATTGGGGAATTTTAGGTGGATTTAGGAGGATTTTAAGGGAATTTTGGTGAGTCCTGGGGGTATTTGGGAGATTTTGGGGGGTCCCGGGAAGATGTTGGGGATTTTTGGGGGCATTGGGGCATTTAGGGGGGGCTTTGGGGCATTTGGGAATTTTGACGGGTGATTTTCAGTTGATTTAAGGCTATTTTAGGTGAATGTGGGTATTTTTGGGGTTTTAGGTGATTCTAGGGTGATTTTGGGCACTTTTGGAGTCATTTTGGGGGAAATCGGGGTGATTTAGAGTACTTTAGGACACCCCCTCACTCTCCATCTCTCCGCCGCAGACCCCAGGCCGCGCGAGCGCGCCCGATCTCTCCTCTTCCCGGAGCACCGCGGCATTTGTCGTCATGCAGCAGCTGCGGGTCCCAGGCGCCCGGAGCGTTGTGGCACTTGTCCCCGGCCGCCTCCGGAGAACCGGCTCCCTGCCCCCCGTCCGGCGGGTGCGCAGCGACCCCCTCCTCGCTGGCGCGGCCGCCCGGCGCCGTGGCGCGCCGGCCGCGCGCGCGGGTTCCCTCCCGCGTCTGAGGCGGTGGGCGTGGAAGTCGGCCTTATGTGTGTACCGCAAGGTACTGGCGGCCGACACCGATGGCCACGGGGAGCTGGACTCGGGGACACTGTTGCGGTGGATGGAGCAGGTCGCCTGGCTGGCAGGTACGTGTCTGAGAGTTCATTTTTAGAGAAAGACCTTCGATGACAGTTTTCTAACTGAGTGAGTTAGTCACTATCGTCTAGTCTCATCTCCTGATGTTACCCATAAATACAAACACCCTTTACAACAGAATCGTTACAAAAAATGTAAACTTTAATCTTACTTAGCTTCTGTTTTTTCCTAAGGGTCTCATTGCAGAGTTGCATTGGTCCCTCACACGAAGAAGACGGACCTGGTGCCTGGCCTGTCAGGCACCAGCGCAGGGGCGAGTGCCTGCTGCAGGTGCAGAGTGCTAACTGTGTCCTTGTGTCTCTTTTGAAGCTGAGAAACATGCCGGTGTGCCCTGCACGACAGAGTCCATGGATGAAATTGTGTTCGGAGACACTGCCAGGTACAAACCAGCTGACAGCACTCAGATGTTTCCCTTCTGCAGGCTCTTATTTGGCAGAGATAAACTGAGGCATTATAAAATGGGAGACAGCAGACTCGTGGACAGCCACAGGGCTGAGTCTCAAAACTGCTCTTTTCTACCTGTAACCTGACCCATGCAGAGAGCAGATCCATCTCACAGGGCAGAAATAAACTCTTGTTAACTTCACTTGGCAGTTGGGATGCCTGGTGAGAAACTGATAGCATCTGGCTCCGGCTTATCAGTTCTGCTTATCTCTGTTAAATAAGCAATGCTACCTATAAAACTTACTGTTACCAGTGTTTTTATTGCTGCAAGGTCTCTTTCGGTTCACTTAACATCTGTCTCTTTCAGCTATTTTATAAAAAAGATAAATGTTTTACATTCACTGAGCACTGAATTAACTGAGTCTACAAATAACAGAGGACTGAACTTGTTTTACCATTTCTCATGGTTTTCAGTGGCAGAGGAAATAGGCCCTTTATTCCTAACGCATACCTTTACAGAAAGCTGAAGCCATTACTTTCTGGGTTTAGTGTGGTTTCACACAGGGCAATCTAGGAATTAAGGAGAGGTTAGATAGGATAGGCTTGGTTGCAGGGGACAGTGCACATGCAGTTTTTGTGGCTGTGAAAAGAGCAACGCTGGCTGATGGCAGTTAAAAACTGTTCATAAGTGTAAAATAAGCATCCGCTCAGACTTGAGACTGTTAGGGCAATGCCCATTAGAATGAGAACTAAAGCCAGTGACAAAGAAGAGAACGTGATCGTACCAAATCTGGAACTCAAAAGAGAATTTCTCGGTCTGTTTCACAATATTGAAGTGTTTGTCTTGTCTTGATTTGCTCTGTGTTTTTACTTTTCCTTCCAAATTTGTTTCTGAATATTTCTATTTCTTCTCTCACTTGTAATACCAATGTTCCATTTGTAATAAGAGTTTCAGGTACCAATCTTGTAACTGTGAAAGAAATTATTTAAGAAATTATTTTTCTCTGCCAGGTCATCCCTAACATCCTTCATGTAGTTTACTGTGCAATTTCCTCAATTTTGCCACATCTAGTTCATTATACAAACATCTTGCATAAATAAAAGAACTCTTGCTTCTCTCTCTGGTAAATTAATAAAATAGTTTAAGTAAGTGGCTTACTGGAAGGTTTATTTACCTAAGCCAGGTGACTAAATCTTCTGCAGGGATTAAGTCTTCTGTGTTTATTATGTAAAGAGAAATTGTCACACATCTATATAGTTCAAAACTTATCTTTATACCATGATAACCTCTCCATCCTCCTGTAATACACAGCAGTTCAGTGTATTACTGAACTGCTGATTTTAAATTGATACCTCTGATTTTAAATTGCATTTATTTAAATGTTGTTAGTCTTCTGTCTGTGAATGATAGTCACTTCATTCTGGTAAATTTCTGATAGTTTTAAGTGGAAGTGTGGTGTTGTGTGACTTCTGCCCCTGCAAATCTGTAGCTTTGACCACTCTCCTATCTGGGAGGGAGCTGGTGGCTCCCTTAGCTGTGCAGTTGGGAACAATTGCCTTAAGAGTTGTGCTTTTTCTTTGCAATAAATAATGCAAAAACTGCTTCTGAGCATCTCCTGCAGAGGCTAATGAGGGCTGTGCACCTGCAGCTGGCCTTGGTTCTTTGCACTGACCATTTCCCCTGCCCTGTGCACCCAAAGGATTCCACCTTGGGTTTCTTGGGTGAGAACAAGAAAAAGAAAATTGCTGTCTAGTTTGTTGTTCCTGTCAGGTCCTCTGGAAGAGCAGGTTTCCTGTTTCCCATTTCCCATTTCCCATTTCCCATCCTACTTCTGCAGTGGAATAAGCAATTTAAGTAAGCCTTTACCTCAGTCCTGTTCTTGGCCAAGACTTGGAACATGAATTCTTTCCCCCTCCAAGAGCACTTTTTCCCTGGAGTTATCTACTCATGTGCACACCCCTGTGTGCCAGGGGTGCTTGTGGAGTGTGTCTGAGTGCTCCTGCAGCTGTATGGACTCCGTGATTTCTGCAGGATGTGCTTGTGAGCAAAGCCAGAACTCCTGGCTGTGCCTGAGCACACCTGCTGCCATTCAGACACCGGCAGAGAGAAGCAATGTTGCCATTAAGGTTGTGCAGTGGCTCTAATTTTATTGACCAAGTCTGACTGGAGAATAACAGTGTTGAATTGAACAGTGAAAAATTCACTTTTCTTCAGTGAATTCTCAGTGCAGTGTGGAAGACACAGACTGATTAATGAGATGTTCTTCACCACTTTTAGGAGTACACAGAGAGGCAAACTCAAGCCCTTATAAAGCTGCATGTTTGCCTGCTATAAGGTCTTACTCTTCTTAACAGGGTTGGAGAAATTCTTGCCATCAGAGCAAAGGTGAACATACAAGTCAAAGCCCGCATAGAGGTAAGAGATCAGCACTCTTTTTTCTAAAGATATTGAAGGAATAGAGCAGAGTTGGGAGCAGCAGAGGAGCACAGCGTGGCTCCAGGTTTATTTGCTCCAGATATCTGCAGATATCTGAACAATGACACTGCCCAATGGCACTGCTTTCAGAGTGCTACAGTTGTGTGTTTCCTGTTAAATGATCCATGTCAGAGTAGCAGCTGGGCCCCAAAGAATTGAAGCCTTTGGCAGGTGGAGTGGGCAGGATGGGAGAGGTGGTGTTGGTCCAGGCCAGATCCACAGAATAGGTGAAGTTCAAAGCATTTTTGAAACTTTTGATACAAATGTACGTATCTCAGGTGTACACATGATCTTAATCTTCATACTGCAGGCAGTATGCAATGCCTTGCCTGATCACTTCAAATCAGAACTGAACTTTGGGGGTGCTTTTTGTGCACTCCCATCGTTATGAATGGGAGTGATGCATCTCACAGGTAATGTATTCCAAAAGTTTCTAAAAATTAGAAAAAATCAGAATTTTGGTGTGTGTCAGGCCTATGCCACAGGATCGAATCCAATGTTTCACGTGCAAGTGTTTCATTTTGCTTTGCACCCCTAAACACACTTTTTTTGCACGTACAGACCTTAGAAACTCATTCAGATGGGGGCTCTGAATGCCACAGAAGAAAACGGAAGATAATATCCATAAAACTACGTTTAAGTGTCTTTCCTGGTCTTGTAATTTTACCCTACAAGTGATGCTAAACAAACATAAAAGTTGTGGTACTAAAAAACCTTTCAGGGTTGACTGAATATTGTGATCGCCAGATATGTATTAGTGATTAGAGCAGGTTTTTTACCTTTTTGCTTTGGGTGTAAGGGACTGATAAAAACTGCACTGTATTGTCTCAAATCAGTTGACTATGATGTAAATACTTCTTTTGTCTCCTTCTTCCACCACCTTCTTCCTCATAGGTTGGCATAGAGGTGACAGTAGAGGATGTTGTAACGAAGTATGAAAAGATTGTGACTATGGCATATGCAACATATGAGGCCAAACCAGCTGGTGCTGAAAAGGTATTTTTCCTGCTTTCTCCTAAGCTTGGAGTGACTGAGTTTCTGTGAAATAACCCACCTTTTCTGGTCGTGTAACACAGCAGAAGCACTGTTTATTCTGATCAGTGATAGGAAAAAAGCACTAAGTTCAGACTTTTTCAGATAGAGTCTGGAGGTTTATTTCTAATTTGTTTCTCTGAAATGGTTAGGTTGTTGTTGCTGCTGTCATTACTATTATTATTATTATTATTGTTATTGTTTTATTGTTATTGTTTCCATTTCTATTTCCATCTCCTTTTGCACATTTGTTCATTATAGAAGTGACATCTTTGAGGCCTGCAGTTTTGACGGAGGCAAGCCGTGAAAGGGAGATCCTTGTGAGTCTCTCTCCTTTTCAGAAGTTGATTGCAGAGTGGGCTCTTTTATCTTTTACTTCCCCTCTTGGGGAGGTTGTTCAGACAGAAGTCATTATTTTTAAGCTCACTTCCAATCGAAATTGGTTCTTTGCCATTTATGTTGATTGGTTTTCACACCAGGGTTGTTTCTTCTCCCCAGTGTTTGGAAATCAGTCATGGTACCATTGGCCTTCACATCACTGTGCCAGACAGGCACAATCTTTTTAGAATTTTCTTGTAGAGAAGGCCAGACACTCCTCAGACTCTCCTAAAAAAAAACTCCCTTTGCATTTAAAATTCTGCTTTCTTGAATGTGACATCGTGGATCTGACTTTCCTGTCTGACTGCATGTGTTATGACAGCACATCTGGCTGTCATAAACATCCACTGGAGATTGGCAGAGTCATCCCGTGAGCAATTAATACATCCAATCACTACTGCTCTCTCTTCTGTGAGGATGTGCCACAGTTTGGAAAAGAAACAGACTGGAGCAGTTCTGCTAAAACTAAAGCCCAGCTCTTGTCTCTGAAAGGCTAATGGCTAAATTTCTGATAGCACTAAAATGTTATCAAGTAAGAATTGTTTGTTCCTACTTTGATATCATACTCATAACATAAACCAGTTCACCTTTTGCCCAAATTTCTGGGGACATTAATTCAGGATTGAATTGGTGATGATTAACTAAGATTAGGCTTAAGACAGGAATGTCCCAGAGGGAGTTTGAGAGTTCAGTTCAAATTCCATGACAAACTAAAATCTCAGAGACATTGAAGAATATTTTTTTCAAATCCACTTTTCTAAACAACTGTTTCTAAGGTTGAACAGAGAGAATGTCAATATAACCACCCTCTTAATATTTTAACTGGGCCACATGGGAGAATCTAGGAAGCTCTTGAAAAGGGCTGGAAAGGAGGCAGCGAATCTGGAAGAGGGTTAGAGGGAAGAGTCAAAGGCTGAGAAACATTAGTGGCTGCACTGCAAGACACAAAATGTTGAATTTGTCTGTGGTGCACTGCTTTGTGCATTATTTTAATGCTTCTGAGGCTAGGCCTTCTAGACAAATCTCACAAGTGATTGTTCAGTGTCACCTGTGGTGTAATTATCCACATGGAGTAATTTTCTTTAAATTACTACATTTGCTTTGGATGCAGTTTGTCATTGAACTGAAATACACAGGAATTTGCACTGACACCACTGACCAGTGCAACTGTATTTATTTTCTGGTTCCAAAATTCTATCCTCAAACCTTCATATTAAGTTCATCTTTTCCTGTCTTTTTTATTTCTTGTTTTTTTTCTTAAATGAGAACTGTCTTCAACACTGTGTGCTGTCATGGATGTTTGTATTCAGAAGCTAAAAGCACTTTGTCATTGAGTTTTAATGAATGATTCTGAAAGGATAATGCAGAATCTCTTGAACTTTATACCCCATGTTAGTTGTATTATTGAACTGGTCATCTTGGACAGCTGATAGGAAAAAGCTGTATTGGAATAGAAATCCCAATATTACCAGTTAGATTGTGCCTGGGCCAGTCTGACCCTCGCTGCTGGGCCAAAGGCAGCAACTGTGGTGTAAATCACCCCAGAGATACCTTGGCTGCTGGAGATTGCAGCTGGGCACTGAGCAAGTCCAGGCTTGTCAGGAACTCCGTTTACCTCAGGAGAGAGAGCTTCTGGCGATGGTGAAGAGAAAAAGGAGAGGATTCCGCTGCAGGGTTCAATGTCCAGAAGTTTATTCCATGGTTACAGAGGTCTGGACGGCAGCAGCTGCTCCAGCAGAATAGAACCGCATGGTCTCATTAACCTTTTAAGCTCAGGGACAGGGGGAGGGGAGGTACAGGTGAGCCACCCAACCAGGTGAGGGGGGCTGGGTCTCAGCGGGGGGGACGACACCCAGACTGGCCAATGACCCCTGGGCATAGGGGCATCTTTTGAACTTGACCAACCACAGGACACCTCACTGGAATGTTGAGCCTGATTGACAGGACTCACTCAGCATGGGGGCAAGGGGGAAGGGAGAGAGGTATAGGCACACCTGGGAAAGGGACCCAGAAGCTCAAGACACACCGCAACAAGCTGTAGAAAATGCTGATGCCATTTAAAGTTCAAAGTGCACTTTGTTACAATTGTGACATTCAGAATTGTTGTATTTTTTTCCTCTCCATTTGCACAGATTGAGCCAAAACCCATAGAGCTTCGGTCTGAAGAAGACTACCTGGAGTACTTCCTGTCTCTGGACAGGAGCATATTCCGTAGGGACTATTCGAAGGTCCTTCAGAAGGTGATGCAGGAGAGCAGTAAGGAAGGTGAGTTTTCTACTCAGCACAGAAGGTGGAACAAACACTTATGAGCAGCTGGAAGGAAGGAAAAAAGCAGGCAAAGCATCTCCTTGGGGTTGTGGTGTCAGGTAGAAAAGTCTGTGCCAGATTTGTGGGTAGAGGTGCCAGAGGTGTGTTAGGCAGTTACTCTAACAGAGTGGTATTTCTTTGTCTCTCAGAAAGTCCAGATGTAAAAACACAGGGTTGAAGGCCAGGTGTGCATTAAATAGATGTGAAATGCAGATCTTCATGTGGTTCTGTGTGTGAGGTTTCACAGGTTTACAGCAGTAAATAAACTTCTGTGACACTAGTTGTGATGTGGACAGAAGCAGGACATTCATTCAGGCTTATGGCCATGTCTTTGCCAGAAAGGAAAGTAAGAACTATGTTTATGCCCTGAGATGATTCCCAGCAAGCAGAAGTTTCACTATGTGGAGGTCAAAACAGGTAAAAAAGTTAGAAGAACTGAACAAAGAAACAGGTTCCTCGTTATTTATGGTAGTAATTTCTGTTCTTAAAGAAAGTTGTGCTTGTAAGTTGTTGTGTTCCCTCACAAAAGAAATTACTCAAAGCAGTTAGGAAAATATGCTGGTATTTGGAAAATCTGAGCTGTAGCTCCATGTATAAATAACAGGCATTGTGTGGTTTTACTGAGGAGAGATTAAACCTGTTATAAACAAAAATCTAACCTTAACAATTTAGTAAGACTTCGTAGAACAAGAAAACAAGCTATTTGTCTTCATGGTAACTGTCCCACAGGGTTGCAGTTTAATAACCTGAGTGACAAATCAGAGGTTGATGGGTTTTGTCTCCACTGCCTTTCCTGGAAATTTCTTTGAAGGATATTATATATTGTAGCACTAATTCACCTCCTTAAGGAGACAGAACAAGCAGAGTGGGAGAAGAGAGGAGAGAACATTGTGTGTAAAGGCTGCTAGGGAGCAGCACATGTACAAATCATACCCTGAAAGTGAGGTTTGTTTGACGAGTGGATCTTAGGGAACACCTTGAGTAGGTCCAAAGTACAAGTCAGTCATATGTGTCCACACACTTACATAATCACAAAGTTAGCTAATTATGCCACAAGTCAAAAGCACAATTCAGGTCAAGCAGCTCCTAGCACAGATAGGCACTTTTAAAATTACTTGATGTAATCTCATGCCTAAATCTTTTCCTGTGAAACACGACCGAGAAGAATTGAGATTAGCGTGAGGATGCAAGGCTGAACACTTGAAAGTGACATCAGAATTGTTCGGGTAATACAAGGCGGTTCAGATCCTCATTTCAGTCATTTCGCGCAGGTGTTATCTCAGGCAATTAAAAATTTGTAAGAAGGTGAAATAAGTCCTGCTCTAGTCTTAATTCAACACACCTGTAGGGGTGCCCATCAAACACAGTGCAGAGTCTTTGACAGACATTTGAGTTGGTGCTGAACTGCTCTGACAGCCCCTGAAAGCCAGCACACGCTGGGGCTTCAGCTGCTGCTCCCCTGCAGGACCTGCCCCTGACAAAGGGACACAGAACTGTCCTGACACAGGGACTCAGAACTGCCCCTGACAAAAATGGCACAGAACTGCCCCTGGTACAGGGATGTGGGCATGCGCTGAGGGCTGGCAGTAGCAGCTCCTGGGAGAACAGAGAAAACGTCCAGCTTCTTATTGCTTCCCTTGCAAACCACAAGGCTCTTCTGTGCCTTTCTGTTTGTCGTCTTTTTGCTGAGTCTGAACAAGCTGCTCTCTTCACTGGGTGTGCTTTCTTCTGAAAGCATTCATTGATTCATTGCTGCTCTGTTTCAGATCTTTCTAAAGATGAACAGGCCATTTCAACCGAGCACACCTATGTCCAGAGCATGGAGCTTGTCCTGCCTTCGCACACAACCCAACAAGGGAACACCTCTGCTGGACAGATAATGGATTGGATACAGATGGTGGCAAGCATCTCAGCAAGGTACTTTCCTCCAGCATTGTCTCTGCATGTGGTTCTAAGTGGATGTGCTTTTAACGTTCAAGGTTTCACAGGGATTTATTTTATGAAGAATACAGACCCAGGCCTTTGTGACTTGTCTTCCTCCTCACATGACAGGAGGCCTTTGAACTATTTAAGTGGTCCGTCTCCCACAGCATGCCATGCCACTGAGACTCAGGCATTATTCTGTTACACATACAGAGCCTAAGGCAAAAGAGGCTGTGTTACCTTTCTGGGAATCTTTGCAGAAGGCTAACATTGGATACAGGAACGGAAACCTGCTCTCCTTGTGCCTGGTGCAGTGCTTTAGAAACAAAGTTAGTTGTTTAACCAGGATCAAACCAATGCTCACCCTGCATCAAGTGGCATCCAAAAAGGAACAGCCTGCCAGAACTTAGTCTGCAGATCCTCGTGATGCCAGAAGACAAATAAGTCAGAGAAAAAGGACCCACATAAACAGGCTCTGTTTGGTTGGTGTGTGCACAGAATGGATGCACAACCCTCAGCAAGTCCCTTGACCTTTCTGTCCCTCTGAGTTGCACATCCTATGGCTTGCAACAATTTTAGCAGTTTAAAGAGCTCGGGCATCTTCAGGTGAAGAGAACAAAATATATTTTGTGACGCTGCCTGCCAGTGTGACCCAGGCACATAATCACTTAATTCCTCTTCCCTGGAGTCCAACCCTTGTTTGTCTCCCTTCCTGTTCCTGGGCACTGCACAAAACTTCTTTGGAAGCAGCACTCAAGTTTCAGTCTGAATTCTCCTTGCATACCGAGTGACCTAATGCACTGCAGGGACGTTAGATATGTTTTCCCTTTTTATCTTTAATAATCAAATGACTTCTCCATTCATTATTCCTGTGGTTTTGATTTGTATCCAGTGGTTGTACTGATAACAACAGATTTTCTGTAGTAGTTGGATAAACAACTTGTTTTAGTAACAACAGAGTGCACTGACCCTACCCCCGTGTGCAATTCCAGTGGCTTGAAGGGACTGCTGCAGATTTTTGCCGTAATATGACTCAGAATATTTACCTGTTTTCATCTGATAAGTTTTACCTTGTGGGAGTCACATTTAGATTTAAAAAAGGAACGGAGACATCAGCAAATGGAGTACTGGACAAATTTTCTTTGAACTAATTCATGTCAAACATGATTACTCATGTTGAGAATTTCAGGAGTAATAGCTGGTGTCAGAGGCTGGTTGAAAGCAGAGATGTTGTAGTTTTTGCTGGAGAAGTAACTACTCTCACTATGAACCTTTTGTGAGGCCACTCAGACCCTACCTCTGAAGGTGCCAGGTAAGAGTTTCTATGGCCACAAACAGTGATGGAGGAACAGGAGAGGAGGGATAAGCCTGAAAAAATAAAATTCTAAGGGCGTTTTAAAGGTTACTCACTCTCCTTCTCACTTCCCCACCACCTTTTTTTGGTCAATGCATAAAATTGTGCAGATAGCAATAAAACAATTTGAATATTAGTAATATTAGCTTGAACTTGATGGATACTTTCTTATTCCTTACATTTTCAATAAAAGCATTCAGGGTGTACTTTTCCAGAAAGAAATTAATATTTAAGCCTGATTTCTGGCTTGTTCCTCTCCTCATCATTATTGTGTTTGCATCTTTAGAGTGAACATTGTAAATAAAATCAACGCTTAGCATTTTAAATCAGAGGAGCAAATTATTTTAATTTAATTACAAAGTAATTCCAATGTATTATTGAAGAGATGTACCAGCCAGTTAATTAGCTGCAGATAATTGTGTGCATTTAAAAATACCGGTACATTAGTTTTCAAAGTGCAGTTGAGTTAAAAGCTAGAAGTGCTACAAAACTGTATTTTGAAATTTAGGAAACCTCACCATGGAACAGTCTATCCTAGATGTGCACGTGGGCTCCTTACTGAGAGCAATGTGTTGCCAAAAATAAATGTCATATATTGTAAATTGTCCCCTCTTCCTGTGATGCGCAGACTTCCCAGTAGAAAGTGAGGGGCTTTGAATACATGCAGAACTGATGAAGAAACCTGATTTTTTCCTGCTCCAGAGAGCTTGGAAACAATATTCTTTTCACTCAGAATGCATCTGGTAGCCATGTGACGGTTTTTTAATTCTCATTTCATATCATACTAGCAGAAAGCATCTAAAACCAAGCGAAAAGTACTAATATTAAGACTAGGTAACTTGACATGGCATTGCTTGGACACTGTCCCTGGTGCTCAGCCTTCTGTTCAGGTTTTCTTTAATTGTTTAAAGGCCTTAAGGTCTGGCATTTTTACACTGCTCAGGGGCCTGCTCCCCATGCAGTCCTGCAGAAAGCAATGAAACTGTGAGGTAAGCGGTTACGCTGTAGGTAAGGGATTCGTGGTCTGGCTTTGAGAGAGGGCAGTCTCAAGCAGTGGGAATTAATTGGCGTTTCTAAAACGTGCTGGAAATGTAACAGCATGGCATAAGTGGTATCATGATGGCTGAAGCTCGAGTTACATGCTCTTGGAGCTGACCGTGCTAGCATGGAGTAGATCAGTGTAATTTAGTGACCTTCCAGGTCCTGCAAGCCCTGTTTCTGTGGTCAGTCACGCTGGCTGTGATTTTAGCACAGCTGTGTTTCGGTCTGTCTCTCTGTGTTTCTGTTTCAGCCGCCTCTGTCGGTCACAGCCATTCCTAAAGGAAATTAGCAGGTTCACATTCTGGCGGCAGTCCGTTGAGTATGACCGCCTGCTGTTCAAGGCCAGTGTTAACAACACTTTCAAGAGCAGGTAAGGCTCCTCATCTCTCGTCTCCCTGGGCATCTCCAGCACCAGCCTACACTGTGTGTTTCACGTTTCATCAGTAGGATTTTCATTAGTCAATTAGTTATTTTTCAGGTGGGACTTGGAGGCATGTATCTGTATCTGTAACTTCCTATATGTGCCCTTTTTTTGGTTTCACTTTTATCAGTGGAAGTTTTTTTAAAGAAATTGTTCTCTGACTCTCAGTTTAAAGATCATTTGTCACCAAATCCCACTCCTGCAAATTCAGACAATAAATATTCCTCTGAAAATCAGGGATTTTCAAGGGCTGAGTTGCTCCCAGAGATCTGACTCCTCAGAAGATTCCAGCTTCTTGCCAGGATCTTCCCATCTTGGCATTTATTGACAGACTGCATTCTATTTATTGCTTATTTTTGGTAACACTATTTAGCTACTGCCATCGTTTATTTTATTTCAAAGGTGTGCCTGTCCAGATTGAGTAATTGATTTGCTATGCTACAGACGGTATTTGAGTCAGGCTTCCTGCACACCTGCAGGCACTGCAGTCCTCTCCAGAATGTCTCAGGGCTGATTCTGCACCACTGGCAGCAGCTCAATGATTTATTTAACCTGTCCTTGCAGTGTGGAGGTTGGTGTCCGTGTGGAGGCTTTCAGCGCTGAGGAGTGGGCCCAGGAGTGCCCGGAACCGCAGCGCATCTGCAGCGCATTCCTCACTTTCTCTGCTTTGGACGAAAAAGGGGAGCCATTCACCTTCCCCAGGGTCAGGCCCACTACTCAGGTGAGCTCTCAGCAGTGGGGTGGCACCACAGCCTTGCTGGGGAAGCAAGGACCAAGCAGGGCACTGCAGTGCATCTTCTTGCTGGAGAGAAAAGCTCCAAATGAAGTGCTTGCCCTCGAGTGCGAGCTTTGTTATTGTCAGCTTTAGTCTTCCAAAAGTGAGAGGCTCCGTGGAGAATCCTCATGACAGAGATTCTGTGGTTGATGGAGAGAACCACAGAGAAGAAGAATCTGATGTGTTAGGAGATTTTTCCACTTGTCTGTTTCTCGTGCAAGTTCCACTGACCAGATGAAATTTATAAGTATTCGGTGAATAGTTATTTTTATAAACCCTTAACAAAGGTGAGAAATAGAGTGAATAAAGAAGTCTGTGGGAATCAAATCCCATGATGTGGGTGGGCTTTCCAGTCGCTTTGACATGGAGATCTCAGTTCATGTTTCCCTGAAAGTGGTTCGTGAAGCACTTGAAGCAGTTTGACTGCTATTGTTGAATTATTTGCTGTGTTAACACCTGTCACTAATCCTCCTGCTCCAGTTACAAGAATTTTAGAGAGCCAGTGTAGGCAGAAATGAAATTATTTTTTAACATCAGAGACCTTATTTTTTATAGGATGGGAACTAGACAAATTAATCAAGGTGTCTTATGTACTCACTGGGGCAGTAAGTTTACTACTGCGCACTGCAGGCTGTCCAAGAGAAGAAACTGACTTTGAAAAATACAATTTCCCTTTGTGCTTTGAACACCAGATGATGATAAATTAGGTTAATAGTTTATTTGGTGAATGGCACGTTTAGAAAGAGCAGAATGTGTGGTGCACTGCCCAGCTGCAACTGCTTTAGGACCAAAGAGCACCTGGAGGATGCTGCAATAATACAACTCTTCTATCCCATTGTTTTTTTTCAAATTTCAGAGAATATTGCTTAGGCAAAAAGTAAACCACTGGTTTTCTGGGTTAGCTTGTGGAAAGGCCACTGCACAATTGCTCTTTATTTGCTTGTATTTTTGCTCTGGCATTTGCCCATCTGGAATAAATAATTTTTAGTTGTCTTTTTTCAGGCTTTGTTCTAAAATAATGAGATTTGTTGCTCTCTGGTTCACTTTTCCTGCAGGATGATGAGAGAAGATTTTATGAAGCTGCTGTGAGGAAGAGATTTCTGTTCAGCAGGTATAGCTGGGTCACTGGCAGGTCTTGATTTTGAAAACTTAATTTCATAATCCTCTAAATAAAGTAATTGAACTCCCCTTAACATATATATGACTGTTATATGGCATACATTTGCAAATAATTTTGTTTCAATGGCACTGAAATTGTTAGAGGCTTCTTGTCTCAAAGCTGCTTTGCTCTGGAGGTTATTGTGTTTCACTGTCTTTCTTGGAAAGAAAAAGCAGTTATTGCAAACCAAAACTTGATAAAGTACCTGTATTTAAAAGACACTTAAACCTATAGAAAGTGATTTTTCCTAGCATACACAGATGTGTAAAGAACCAGTTTATGCTACTGTCTCTTTTTAATTATGTTTTAGTATGTCCATCGTTTACGCCAGAGCAGAAGAGCCCAGTGATATGTGGGAGGAGAGAAACAAGGTAATCTGTAGGTGCATAAAAAGCTGTATTTGTGCACCTTTTGGGGTGTGTGAAGCAACTGTTCAGGCTGTGGCAGTACAGGTGGACCCTCGGAAGTTTTGTGGTAATCGTGAGGAATGGATGGATGTGTAACACAGTGAAATGTCTCTTTTGAAAAGGGGGAGTAGATGGTTCACTACTGCTCTAAGAGTGAGTTCAATAGAAGGATATAAAATAGTCTTTAAAACGCGTGCATACAAGTGGTCCCTTAAGGTCTCCTGCAGATTTATCCCTCAGTATCCCCAGCTGTTATAAAAGCTGAATTCTCCTGTGGAGGAAGTAGTTTGGGGTTTTGGTTTTTGTCTTTATCCAGCCACAGAATGTCTGAAAAATTGGAAACCATTTAGTAAGTGCTAAAAGTGGGGGGAGAGATAGCACCAGCGAGATGAACATTGGAATAGCTTAATGGAAAGATAGGGGAAATAATTTTCATTCCCAGATTCCCTGCACCAAGTGTCTCTGGTTTGGACATGATGGGCCACTGACTGTGTCCATGTCCTGTAGTGAATGATGAATTTAGGTGGATTTATAAATAAATTAAATGCTGTTTCAGTGTCCAGTTTTTGTAGCTAAAGCAGCTTCTTTTCCTTTTTTTTTTTTTTTTTTTTTTTTTTTTTTTATGCAGAGCAACAAATGTAAATATGCACACAATGATAAAAATCGCTTGGTTAAGATTTATTTCCTGTGAAATCAAAACCTGTCATAAACACTCTGAGGCTGTATTCCCTTTATGGAGTGGTTAAATGAGAACTCCATCCACTGTAGCCAAGCACAAAGAATGGCTATATTTGCATTTTCTTTGCTTGTGAGCCTGCTGTGAAAAACAATTGCCGAGATGGACCCAGCTTGGTAGCAAAGAAGAGGTTAATTTTTGAGTAGATTCTAATTGCTTAAGAGGAAGATGGACAAAACCATTAATTCGGCGGTCTGAGAGGTTATCTGTATTGTCTCCCTGGTGGTCAAAGTTGCTCTTCACAGCTTTATAACTGGAGAAGCTGAAAATAGTGTTTTGTTGTCCTTTAATTAAGATTGTTTTGCCAACAGCCATGTGAGTGCATCAGGAAGCCACTGGAAGTGTTTTAATTCAGAAACTACTGAAGTGTGTTTTCCCTTACAAGGAGAATAAACATTTGTTTGCAGTTGAAGCATAATGATGGGGAAAAAGAGCACCTCATTTCTGCAATGTTCAGTGAAATGTACCCTTACCCCTCCATTTACAGACACGTGTCTTGTGTTTCAGGCGTACTTGAATTACAAAAACATTGCCGCGTTGACCTACGTGGCAGAGAAAACAAAGTGGAAAATAGCCTTGGACAATTCTGAGGATAATGTAAGTGCCGAAAAGAAATTACAGAAATCTGAAAGCAGAGCACCTCCCTGTTTGTGAAGGGTTGTTATAAACCCAAAATCAGTGAGGACACCTGTGTAAACCAGTTCTAGCAGAGGAGGACGCTGCTAGGAAAAGCAGGAGACGGGCAAGGGAAAACAGGGTGTTAACCCTGTTGCAGTGCATGTTTTCCAGAAAATGGAGAGACACCTGGCGTCTGCCAGGGCTGAGTTTCTGAAATGGGGTTAGTGACTGGCAGTTTACTTCCAGATCGTGTCAACCCAGAGGTGTTTTGGGACAATAAATGACTTTTTCAGCATTTTACTCTGACCTCCTGTGCATTGCAGGCTATGGAACATTGCTTAGTGACTCTTGCATGTAGACAATAGGATACTTAATAAGGGCAGATACAAATCATGAGGAATTCGAGTGATGGCAAAGCTGCCAGTGCTGTGTGTAGGTTGTTCCAGTGGTTAAATATTTCAGTAAATACTGCTGTGCCAAATAAACAGCAAGCAACTCTGTATTTGTATTTAGAGCTGGGAAAAGCAAGCTTGAAATAGCTCCTGGAGACAGGCAGAGACAACAACTGGGGTTGTTCCTCCTGGGGAAGAGGAGGCTTTGGGGAGACCTTGAAGCACCTCCCAGTACCTAAAGGGGGAGGTACCAGAAGTCTGGAGAGGGACTGCACAAGGGGGAATGATCCTAAAGTGCAGATCTGTTCCCTTTTCCCTGCAACTGGAATGACCCCAAGCTGACTTGACAGTTTTTGAAGGTAAAAAATGGCATTCTTTGTGTCTTTGACACAAAGCCACAAGGCTTGTAAGGCTGCAGAGATAATCCAGCCTTGCCAATGTTCACTTAGCAGAGAGGCGTTTTGACAGCTGCACCTCCTGCTTTTATTTGTGATTTCTCAAGTCTAGAAGACTCCTAGAACAACATGATTTCTGTTCTGTGCCATAGAGGAATATTGATGCAGACCTCCTGTAGATGGTTTTTAAAGCTCTTAAGCATTTAATTTTACACCAAACTTTACTTCAGAAAGGTGCTTGCTGGATTAAGTTGGGGTTTATTTCCTCTTCCAAGATAGGACAATCCAGAGAAATACAAAATCTGTGTTGTTGCGGAAATGCAGAAGAAACAAAACATTGCTCATTTTTGATGCAGAAAAAGAAAACCAAAACAACAAACCTTCAAAAGTGATGATGAACCTTATGAATTTTGCATCACTTGGAAATGCAAATCTGTTAAACTTCTCAGGATTTGAGAGGCAATAAAGCACATGAATTTGGGAGTAAAATTCGCTAATTCTAAACACTCTGTTGTACCCATCCTCTTCCGTTTTATGGGGTTTGTGGGAGGTGACAAACCCTTCTTGTGTGTGCATTGTGATGTACAGGTTATTCCCTTTGAATTCTCTGTTTTGGGGTTTAGGCCTATGAATAGAAATAGACCCAAAATAATCAAGGCAAGATAGTACAGGTGGGGAACGAGAGATGCAAAACTGTGATTTTAAGTAGTTATTCAGAGTGTCATTAGTTCTGGGTGCTCTGCTTCACAGAAGAGAGCAAAGGAGAAAAAGAAGGATATTTTGGAAAGGGAAGTGGGCGTTTACTCTAGGGCAAGAGGGCTAAGCCAAGGTGTGGCTGATTTGCCTGGACAAAAGGGTGTGGCATTTCCCAGGAACTCCTGAGAAAATCTGCCTGAAGTCCTAACTATGTAACATTTATGTATCTAAACATTTACAGTAATAATTCTTTGTTTCTAATACATGCTGCCTTTATTTTTCCCAGATAAAAGTCTTTACTGACGAGGAGGGTGATATTCGGTTAATGAAGGTGGAGATGGAGGTCAACGTGCCATTTCACATGGCCGCCTTTCTACTCTTGGATTTCAACCATCGACCAACATGGGACAAACACATCCAGTGAGACCCTGTCCCTGTGTGGGGCTCTGAGCCCCCTCTCCTCTCCTCTCCTCTGTCACAGGCACATCCAGTGACACCCTGTCCCTGTGTGGGGCTCTGAGCCCCCTGGCCTCTCCTCTCCTCTGTCACAGGCACATCCAGTGACACCCTGCCCCTGTGTGGGGCTCTGAGCCCCCTCTCCTCTCCTCTCCTCTGTCACAGGCACATCCAGTGACACCCTGTCCTTGTGTGGGGCTCTGAGCCCCCTGGCCTCTCCTCTCCTCTGTCACAGGCACATCCAGTGAGACCCTGTCCCTGTGTGGGGCTCTGAGCCCCCTCTCCTCTCCTCTCCTCTGTCACAGGCACATCCAGTGACACCCTGTCCTTGTGTGGGGCTCTGAGCCCCCTGGCCTCTCCTCTCCTCTGTCACAGGCACATCCAGTGAGACCCTGTCCCTGTGTGGGGCTCTGAGCCCCCTCTCCTCTCCTCTGTCGCAGGCACATCCAGTGACACCCTGTCCTTGTGTGGGGCTCTGAGCCCCCTGGCCTCTCCTCTCCTCTGTCACAGGCACATCCAGTGACACCCTGCCCCTGTGTGGGGCTCTGAGCCCCCTGGCCTCTCCTCTCCTCTGTCACAGGCACATCCAGTGACACCCTGCCCCTGTGTGGGGCTCTGAGCCCCCTGGCCTCTCCTCTCCTCTGTCACAGGCACATCCAGTGACACCCTGTCCTTGTGTGGGGCTCTGAGCCCCCTGGCCTCTCCTCTCCTCTGTCACAGGCACATCCAGTGAGACCCTGTCCTTGTGTGGGGCTCTGAGCCCCCTGGCCTCTCCTCTCCTCTGTCGCAGGCACATCCTGTGAGACCCTGCCCTGTTAGGAACAAAGTGTTGTAAGAGTTTGACATCAGACATTTATTAATCAAAATATGGGGTTTGGGTTTTTTTAGTGTAGAAGTAAAATTTGGTTTGTGCTTAGTCTGGTTCCAAAATACAGAGTGCACTGTATTTTTCAAAAGAATTGAATGCTCTGTATCATTCAAAGGCAGGGATAGGACAGAGGTCAACTTTTTCTTAAATAAGCACTGCTCCAGTCCTAGGCAGGTGTATGTTAAAAGTTTTTGTACAAAAACCCAAAACTAGTAAAAAAAAGAAAAAGTTTAAAGTAAGAACTGAGGTGGATATATTGTGCATGCTAGCTTTAAAAATTAGGGAAAAGCTGGACTCCTTCATGTTTGTGCTGTTGGAGACACTGATGCTCAATTTCACAGTCAAAATGAGAAATCAAGAAATGGGGTCCTTCAAAATGCATATTTTCAAAAAATAACATGTTTGAAAGTTTGTATGATTTGAAACAAGTTTTGGAATGGCTCTAAAAGGTGTTTGGGGTTTTTTATTTACCTTTTATGGTGTAGAATAGTGATTAGAGACAGTTGAATTGAAATTGTACTGATTTGATATGGTGAAGCATTTTCAGTTAGTTATTCCATCCTGAAAGATTTTTACCTGAGGGTGGAACTTCAGGGATATTTGAAAATCTGCAAACTCTACTGAATTTACAGCTTGTAACAAACAAAACCTAAAGAAATCCTGCTGATGAGGTGTTGCAGAAAACCTAAATGTTTCACTCTCTCCGCCTTGCTGCTGGAACATGAAAATGAACGGTCCAGTGTCAGGATGAGCCTGTTTGCACTGAGTTTGTTGGAGGAGCTGCAGTTGCACACACAGGGCCTGAGGTGTGTGCTAAATGTCTTCACAGAGCATGTAAGGTCGTGGAGGATGTGAGTCAGAGCGAAAAGATTTACCATCTCACGTCTGGCCCCACGGCAGGCCGCCAGCCCAAGGATTTTGTCGTTCTGGTATCCCTAAGGGAGCCGTTGCAGGCAGAGTGAGTATGGCTCTGATTTTAACTCTGAGCACTTTGGGGACGCAGTCTGGGGTGCTGTCACCTTGAGCTGTCACTGGGTGACAAAAGGGCATTTTGCTTTGTAAGGAGTGAGATTCCTTGGTTGATGCCTGAGTTTGTACAGCCAGATTTGCTTTGCAATGTTAGGGTGCAATGAAATAAATACAGATCATCACAAATTTTTAGCATAGTCCAGTATTGATTCCCTGACAGTGACTCTTTGGGAGTGGTCTACCAGGAGGGCAAATAGGCCAGAATTTCAAAAGGGCAAATGGAGAAAAAAACTCATGTCCCAGAGAGCATGTCAGTATGCTGAAGCACCTAGCTGGGAGTTTATTTGTTCTTTGTTTGAAGTGACTTTGTACTCCCATTCCACGTAATTATAGGGTTTTTATTTAGTCAAGGAACTTCTTGAAACCTCACACATTTGTTGTGTCTGTAAATTCTGCCGAGTCCCTTGCTCAGTTTAACATATCCTGCTTTTTAAAGTTTTATTATTGTTATTAGATCTCCTTTTGTTCTTACACAGTGAAACATGGGCAAATGGAACGTTTTGGTCTATCTTACCTTCCTCTATTCTGTTTCTTTTTCACATTCAGTGATTCTTCCAGTTAGCCCTAAAAGGCAGCACTCTGTATTGTGCTTGCCTTCCCCCTCCATGAGGGGATTGAATGAGTGTGGATACCTTTACTGTGGCCACACTGTGAAGCCTCTGGGTAAGGGTTGTTCCCTGATGCAGTAAACATGAGCTGAGGAGAGCAGGGTAAATTAAAAAGAAAAGGTGGGGAATTGTTCTCTGGCTGCTACAGAGGTCTCCCGCACTGGGCTCTGTGTGAAGCCTCACTGAGGCTCAGCAGGGGCCCAGCTTTGAGCCAGGATCGTGCAAAACACCCGAGCTCCTCTGCCCTCCTGTGAAAAAGATGTGTTGTTGTCACTCCCATGAATGTTTTCAACAAGAGGAAGGGTGTGATGTGTGGTGTTGTGAGGTCTCCCCAGGATGAGGTGAGAGATGAGAATTGACTCCATGTTCTCAGAAGGCTGATTTATTATTTTATGATATTATATTATTAAATTAATATTAATATTAATATTAATATTAATATTAATATTAATTTAATATTAATTTAATATTAACATAATATTAAAGGAAATGCTATACTAAAACTATACTAAAAAAAGAGAAACGATACATCAGAAGGCTAGACAAGAATGATAATGAAAGCTCGTGATTGACTCAGAGAGTCTGACACAGCTGATGGTGAGTGGTCATTAATTAAAAACAATTCACATGTTTGGATAAACAATCTCCAGCTACATTCCAGAGGAGCAAAACATGGAGAAACTGAGGTTTCTCATCTTCCCAGGAGAAGAAATCCTGGTGAAGGGATTTTTCAGAAAATATCACGGTGACAGTGATGCTTGTCCCCGCCCTGCAGCTTGCCCTACATCGTAGCGGTGAAGTCTGTGACGCACAAGGCGATGCCCGCACGCCTAGGGTACAACAGGGCTCAAGACGTCTGTTCTGGATTCCAGATTCACAGGACCGGCATCTGCTCCTGCACTGTGAGTAACCCTGCAGGGCCCAGCTGTGCCCCCTGCCCTGTCCCCCTGCCCTGGGGCTGTCACCTCGCCTGAGCTGAGACTCCAAAAAAGGAGTTCAGTCTGGGTGTGTGTGGAGTCTGCCTTGCCCAGCTTTGGCCAATCTGACTGTTAGAAATGAGCCCTGAACCCCGACCCCTCCAGACTTCTAAAACACACCCCTAGAGGATGTGCATTGCACTGGCCTCTGGCGGTGTGTCTGTCTTTCCGCTGACTACAGAGGCCAAGGAATTAGTTCAAATTAAATTCATCGCTTGCACTTTCATATGCCAGGAATCTCACAATCTGATTCCCATCTCTGGACCCATGGCCAATCTTCTTTGCCATGGGAAGGCTAAAACTTTTCCATTTAAGAAAACACATTTCTGAAAACTTTCAGCAGCGCTTGGTGGCTGCAGTTCCTTTTTTGGGGCAGCAGGTTTGCTCACAGAGCACACATATTTGATATGTTATACACAAGTGTTTCTTGCTGCACTGCTCTGTACATTTACCTGCAGATGCTGGAGGGCCTGGGAGCAGAGAGGAAACCAGATCACTGGGGTGCTGTAAAAAGGCATGCTTTTTGCAAATTATTGCCTTCAGTTTCACAAGCACTGTGTGCTTCTATTCACATCCATGAAAGCTATGGTACTCATCCAGGCTCTGCAAAAAAATGGCTAGCTTGCAATCCATAGGCTTTTTTGTTTCGTTTACTTTTGTACAAACAGGTCTGCTACTTCCTTCCGTTATCATCACGAATTACGTCCTTCCTAACTGCAGATAAGGTTACTGACGCATCAAGCTCAGTCAAAGACACTGCGTTGGCCTGTATCAAGTTCTTAGAGGGGAAATACTTGGAGGAATGGGCGCAAAGAGCTGTGAAGGGACGTTTAAGCAGTGTGATATAATTGTGATTGAAATTCCTGCAGTCCTCTTCCCCTTTTAAAAATGTGCTTTGATTATTACTAAATGAACATACACCCCTTATCTCAGTCTCCACAGCAGCACCAAGAAATCTAAAATGTGACCTCTAATCACTGTATTGTTTGGCAATATTTTATTAAAAATAATCACCTGTACAAATAAATAAAATAAAATATCCCCACAAAATTTAATTTCCCATATTTGTTTTTTGCTGCAAGAAAAATATGTGAGGGAAGGTCAGGGTGCACTTCTCCAGTAATACTGGTGGATGCAGGAACTCTGTTTGGAGTTGGTTTCTTAATTTTTCTGTTTAATATCCACCAGGTTTTTTCTTTTTACAAAGAAAAGTTTACTCCCAGCTCACCAAGGCGTGGAAACACTGCAGATTTTTGAGCATTTTCTTTGAAAAATAAGTAAGTAAACTAAGAAAGCTTCTCACTTGCTCTCCAATTCCTTAGGGGTGTGTTTCACCAGAGGTTTCAGAGGAAGGGCTGGATTCTGTTAGTGAACACACTGAAATGACCCAGTGTGCATGACCAATTCGGTTAATCGCAGATAATTACCACTACAACCATCAGGAACTGCACCCCAAGCCCAGCAGCCCACAGGGCTGATCTGAAGCTTCACAAGACTGCTCAAGCTGGAACATATGGAGGAATAAGTTCATTATTCCTAAAAGGAAAAGTCAAAACCAAACCAGAATCCAACAAGAGCCTTTAGAAAACACCCACAATTCCTTTAATAAAGCAGCCACTTGCTGTGCTCCTGTTGCTCCCAGCTTTACAGTGCACCAGGCAAGTTTGGGAGGCAAACCGGGAAAATGAGGGGAGACAGAAAACCAACAGTTCCTCTGCAGCTCGCTTGATTTTCTGGATCCGCTCTCTGTCATCAGCACTGGAGTGCAGCAGCACAGGAGAACTCTTTGAGAGGCCGGAGCCTTCAGAAAGTGACAACCTTGGGTCACTTGGGCCGCGCTCTCTGCGGCGCCGGCGCGGCCATGACATCCTCGTGGTCCGCGCTCAGGCCGGGGATCCAGTGCCCGACAGTCACCTGCTCTGCAGGGCACAGGAGAGCGGTGCCAGGCCAGCCCTGCCCCCTGCACGGCCTGGGCTGAGCCCCAGCAGGGCAGCACACCCAGCACTGCACACATTGGCTCATAAACAATTTCAGCTGCTGAGTGGCCTCCTCTGAGAACACAGCTGGAGATTTACCAGGTCACCCTTCACTGTCCCCAGGTGAGACCCCACCTGCAGAGCTGCATAGCTCTGGAGGAGCCTTGGGGCTGCTGTGGGGCAGGGCTGGGACCCCAAAGTCTGTGCTGGGCCCAAAGCCCAGAGCCCTGTGCTGGGCCCAGAGCCCCTTGCTGGGCCCAGAGCCCAGAGCCCCTTGCTGGGCCCAGAGCCCCGTGCTGGGCCCAGAGCCCAAAGCCCAGAGCCCCGTGCTGGGCCCAGAGCCCAGAGCCCAAGGCCCAGAGCCCCGTGCTGGGCCCAGAACCCAAAGCCCAAAGCCCAGAGCGCCGTGCTGGGCCCAGAGCCTAGAGCCCAGAGCCCTGCTGGGCCCAGAGCCCAAAGCCCAGAGCCCCGTGCTGGGCCCAGAGCCCAGAGCCCCGTGCTGGGCCCAGAGCCCAAAGCCCAGAGCCCCTTGCTGGGCCCAGAGCCCAAAGCCCAGAGCCCCGTGCTGGGCCCAGAGCCCCGTGCTGGGCCCAGAGCCCCTTGCTGGGCTCAGAGCCCAGAGCCCAGAGCCCCGTGCTGGGCCCAGAGCCCAGAGCCCCGTGCTGGGCCCAGAGCCCAAAGCCCAGAGCCCTGTGCTGGGCCCAGAGCCCAAAGCCCAGAGCCCAGAGCCCCATGCTGGGCCCAGAGCCCAAAGCCCAGAGCCCGGAGCCCAGAGCCCGGTGCTGGGCCCAGAGCCCAGAGCCCAAAGCCCAGAGCCCAGAGCCCAGAGCCCTGTGCTGGGCCCAGAGCCCAGAGCCCAAAGCCCAGAGCCCCGTGCTGGGCCCAGAGCCGAAAGCCCAGAGCCCAGAGCCCAGAGCCCCGTGCTGGGCCCAGAGCCCAGAGCCCAAAGCCCAGAGCCCTGTGCTGGGCCCAGAGCCCAAAGCCCAGAGCCCAGAGCCCCATGCTGGGCCCAGAGCCCAAAGCCCAGAGCCCCGTGCTGGGCCCAGAGCCCAAAGCCCAGAGCCCAGAGCCCAGAGCCCCGTGCTGGGCCCAGAGCCCCGTGCTGGGCTCAGAGCCCCTTGCTGGGCCCAGAGCCCAGAGCCCAAAGCCCAGAGCCCTGTGCTGGGCCCAGAGCCCAAAGCCCAGAGCCCCGTGCTGGGCCCAGAGCCCCATGCTGGGCCCAGAGCCCAGAGCCCCTTGCTGGGCCCGGAGCCCCTTGCTGGGCTCAGAGCCCAAAGCTCAGAGCCCCGTGCTGGGCCCAGAGCCCAGAGCCTCGTGCTGGGCTCAGAGCACAGAGCCCAAAGCCCAGAGCCCCGTGCTGGGCCCAGAGCCCAGAGCCCCTTGCTGGGCCCAGAGCCCCGTGCTGGGCTCAGAGCCCAAAGCTCAGAGCCCCGTGCTGGGCCCAGAGCCCAGAGCCCCGTGCTGGGCTCAGAGCCCAGAGCCCCGTGCTGGGCCCAGAGCCCAGAGCCTCGTGCTGGGCTCAGAGCACAGAGCCCAAAGCCCCTTGCTGGGCTCAGAGCCCAGAGCCCCTTGCTGGGCTCAGAGCCCAGAGCCCAAAGCCCAGAGCCCCGTGCTGGGCCCAGAGCCCAGAGCCGCTTGCTGGGCCCAGAGCCCCGTGCTGGGCTCAGAGCCCAAAGCTCAGAGCCCCGTGCTGGGCCCAGATCCAAGAGCCCCGTGCTGGGCTCAGAGCCCAGAGCCCCGTGCTGGGCCCAGAGCCCAGAGCCCAGAGCCCAAAGCCCAGAGCCCAGAGCCCAGAGCCCTGTGCTGGGCCCAGAGCCCGGAGCCCAAAGCCCAGAGCCCCGTGCTGGGCCCAGAGCCCAGAGCCCCTTGCTGGGCCCAGAGCCCCGTGCTGGGCTCAGAGCCCAAAGCTCAGAGCCCCGTGCTGGGCCCAGAGCCCAGAGCCCCGTGCTGGGCTCAGAGCCCAGAGCCCCGTGCTGGGCCCAGAGCCCAGAGCCCAGAGCCCAAAGCCCAGAGCCCAGAGCCCAGAGCCCTGTGCTGGGCCCAGAGCCCAGAGCCCAAAGCCTAGAGCCCCGTGCTGGGCCCAGAGCCCAGAGCCCAAAGCCCAGAGCCCAGAGTCAAGAGCCCCTTGCTGGGCCCAGAGCCCAGAGCCCCGTGCTGGGCCCAGAGCCCCGTGCTGGGCTCAGAGCCCCTTGCTGGGCCCAGAGCCCAGAGCCCTGTGCTGGGCCCAGAGCCCAAAGCCAAAGCCCAGAGCCCCGTGCTGGGCCCAGAGCCCCGTGCTGGGCCCAGAGCCCAGAGCCGCTTGCTGGGCCCAGAGCCCCTTGCTGGGCTCAGAGCCCAAAGCTCAGAGCCCCATGCTGGGCCCAGAGCCCAGAGCCTCCTGCTGGGCTCAGAGCCCAGAGCCCAAAGCCCAGAGCCCTGTGCTGGGCCCAGAGCCCAGAGCCCAGAGCCCCTTGCTGGGCCCAGAGCCCAGAGCCCCTTGCTGGGCCCAGAGCCCAAAGCCCAGAGCCCCGTGCTGGGCCCAGAGCCCCTTGCTGGGCCCAGAGCCCAAAGCTCAGAGCCCCGTGCTGGGCCCAGAGCCCAGAGCCTCGTGCTGGGCTCAGAGCCCAGGGCCCAAAGCCCAGAGCCCTGTGCTGGGCCCAGAGCCCAGAGCCCCTTGCTTGGCCCAGAGCCCAGAGCCCAAAGCCCAGAGCCCCGTGCTGGGCCCAGAGCCCCTTGCTGGGCTCAGAGCCCAAAGCTCAGAGCCCCATGCTGGGCCCAGAGCCCAGAGCCCTGTGCTGGGCCCAGAGCCTAGAGCCCAGAGCCCTGCTGGGCCCAGAGCCCAAAGCCCAGAGCCCCGTGCTGGGCCCAGAGCCCCATGCTGGGCCCAGAGCCCCTTGCTGGGCTCAGAGCCCAGAGCCCAGAGCCCCGTGCTGGGCCCAGAGCCCAGAGCCCCGTGCTGGGCCCAGAGCCCCGTGCTGGGCTCAGAGCCCAAAGCCCAGAGCCCCGTGGGGGGCCCAGAGCCCAAAGCCCAAAGCCCAGAGCCCTGTGCTGGGCCCAGAGCCCAAAGCCCAAAGCCCAGAGCCCCGTGCTGGGCCCAGAGCCCAAAGCCCAGAGCCCCGTGGGGGGCCCAGAGCCCAGAGCCCAGAGCCCCGTGCTGGGCCCAGAGCCCAGAGCCCCGTGCTGGGCCCAGAGCCCCGTGCTGGGCTCAGAGCCCCTTGCTGGGCCCAGAGCCCAGAGCCCGGAGCCCAGAGCCCTGTGCTGGGCCCAGAGCCCAAAGCCCAAAGCCCAGATCCCCGTGCTGGGCCCAGAGCCCAAAGCCCAGAGCCCCGTGCTGGGCCCAGAGCCCCGTGCTGGGCCCAGAGCCCAGAGCCGCTTGCTGGGCCCAGAGCCCCTTGCTGGGCTCAGAGCCCAAAGCTCTGAGCCCCGTGCTGGGCCCAGAGCCCAGAGCCTCGTGCTGGGCTCAGAGCCCAGAGCCCAAAGCCCAGAGCCCTGTGCTGGGCCCAGAGCCCAGAGCCCAGAGCCCCTTGCTGGGCCCAGAGCCCAGAGCCCAAAGCCCAGAGCCCAAAGCCCAGAGCCCCATGCTGGGCCCAGAGCCCAGAGCCCCGTGCTGGGCCCAGAGCCCAAAGCCCAGAGCCCAAAGCCCAAAGCCCAGATCCCCGTGCTGGGCCCAGAGCCCAAAGCCCAGAGCCCCGTGCTGGGCCCAGAGCCCCGTGCTGGGCCCAGAGCCCCGTGCTGGGCCCAGAGCCCAGAGCCGCTTGCTGGGCCCAGAGCCCCTTGCTGGGCTCAGAGCCCAAAGCTCAGAGCCCCGTGCTGGGCCCAGAGCCCAGAGCCTCGTGCTGGGCTCAGAGCCCAGAGCCCAAAGCCCAGAGCCCTGTGCTGGGCCCAGAGCCCAGAGCCCAGAGCCCCTTGCTGGGCCCAGAGCCCAGAGCCCAAAGCCCAGAGCCCAAAGCCCAGAGCCCCATGCTGGGCCCAGAGCCCAGAGCCCCGTGCTGGGCCCAGAGCCCAAAGCCCAGAGCCCCGTGCTGGGCCCAGAGCCCAGAGCCCAGAGCCCCTTGCTGGGCCCAGAGCCCAAAGCCCAGAGCCCCGTGCTGGGCCCGGAGCCCCATGCTGGGCCCAGAGCCCCTTGATGGGCTCAGAGCCCAGAGCCCAGAGCCCCGTGCTGGGCCCAGAGCCCAGAGCCCCGTGCTGGGCCCAGAGCCCCGTGCTGGGCTCAGAGCCCCTTGCTGGGCCCAGAGCCCAGAGCCCAAAGCCCAGAGCCCTGTGCTGGGCCCAGAGCCCAGAGCCCCGTGCTGGGCCCAGAGCCCAGAGCCTCGTGCTGGGCTCAGAGCCCAGAGCCCAAAGCCCAGAGCCCTGTGCTGGGCCCAGAGCCTAGAGCCCCTTGCTGGGCTCAGAGTCCAGAGCCCCTTGCTGGGCTCAGAGCCCAGAGCCCAAAGCCCAGAGCCCAAAGCCCAGAGCCCCGTGCTGGGCCCAGAGCCCAGAGCCCCTTGCTGGGCCCAGAGTCCCTTGCTGGGCTCAGAGCCCAAAGCTCAGAGCCCCGTGCTGGGCCCAGAGCCCAGAGCCCCGTGCTGGGCTCAGAGCCCAGAGCCCAAGGCCCAGAGCCCTGTGCTGGGCCCAGAGCCCAGAGCCCAGAGCCCCTTTCTGGGCTCAGAGCCCAGAGCCCCTTGCTGGGCTCAGAGCCCAGAGCCCAAAGCCCAGAGCCCACAGCCCAGAGCCCCATGCTGGGCCCAGAGCCCAGAGCCCTGTGCTGAGCCCAGAGCCCTGTGCTGGGCCCAGAGCCCAGAGCCCAAAGCCCAGAGCCCCGTGCTGGGCCCAGAGCCCAAAGCCCAGAGCCCCGTGCTGGGCCCAGAGCCCAGAGCCCAAAGCCCAGAGCCCAGAGCCCAGAGCCCCGTGCTGGGCCCAGAGCCCAGAGCCCAAAGCCCAGAGCCCAGAGCCCAGAGCCCCTTGCTGGGCCCAGAGCCCAGAGCCCAAAGCCCAGAGCCCAGAGCCCAGAGCCCCGTGCTGGGCCCAGAGCCCAAAGCCCAGAGCCCCGTGCTGGGCCCAGAGCCCAGAGCCCAAAGCCCAGAGCCCAGAGCCCAGAGCCCCGTGCTGGGCCCAGAGCCC